GATATATAAATATGCTATAATAGATATATATATATATATATAGTATATATATATATATATATATATATATATATATATATATATATATATATATATATATATATATATATATATATATATATATATATATATATATATTATATATATATATATATATATATATATATATATATATATATATATATATATATATATATATATATATATATATATATATATATATATATATATATATATATATATATATATATATATATATATATATATATATATATATATATATATATATATATATATATATATATATATATATATATATATATATATAATTTTATAAATGTTATAAAAAAAGTAAATCATTGTAAAATGTTATTTTAACCATCAATTTATTTGCATAATTACAGTTAATTTAGCATGAAAATGGAGCTAACATGTTCAAGTTGTAGTGTGTCATATTTTATAGTTTATAAAAAATATATAACTCAAGAAAATAAAGAAAGGACTTTTGCAATTTTCCTGTAACGTAACTTAACAAAAACATGATAAAGTTTTTTTTTTTTTTTAACTTTAAAGTTTTTTTTTTTTTTTAACTTTAAGTTAAAAACTTATTTAAAAACTTAGTCAAAAACTTAGTTAAAAAACTTTTTAATAATATATGTAAAAAACTTAGGTTTTTTAATGTAAAACAATATCAATGTTATGTTTTTACATTTAACGTTTTGAAAAACGATGCTTAGTTAAAGCCTATTTTTATTCTAAATTTGTGTAACATAAATAAATACTACATGCATTTACTACAGTTCTGGCGCTTTTTCGTTGACAAAATGAATTATGTCACTAAATAATTTTTATTTCTTTGCAATAGTTTGACAAGGTTCTAACTGAAACTATTTATATTAGAAGAATTTAGAAAAAAAATAATTTTTTTTTAATGTCGACTAAAATTTTTATATTATTGTTTTTTTTTATTTGTTTATGTATTCTTATTTTGGTTGACATAAAATATACATAAATAAAAATAAGAATTATATAAATATTTTTATTTAGACATTAAAAAAAAAAAGATTTATTTGCTATTCTCCTAAGTTAAAAAAAAAAATTAGCGAGAACCTTTTTTTTGTTTTTTTTTAGTAAAAAATTCATTTGTAAATGCAACTAAGAGGGCTCATCAGTAAAGGAGTTCACCTTATATTTATCAATTCTTAACCCCTTCCTGCCACATATGATCACACATACCTAAACCATTCTTCCTCCTAAACTGTGATAGTAGTTTTTACGCCAAAAATATTTTAAAAGATGTTCATATAAATACTTTGCAGCATTTTAAAAATTCAACCTAATGAAAATAAGGCAATACGCGTAAATGTAAGAAATGTGAGTAAAAACTTTGATAAACCAAAGATTTTTTTACTAATTGACTAAATAAGTAATAATAAAGTTGTCATACTGAAGTAAGTTTTTAAAGTTGCTCTTGGTCATGTAGAAAAAACTGTTTAGGATTTGAAAACTTTCATAAATTTTATGAAAAATCACTCAGGAAGAGTGCCACCAGTTTTTTAAAATTATCTCTGTTAATTATTTTTAATAAATGAGTTCAATACTTTTAAAAATTTTTTATTATGTAACCCTAAAAAATCTTACTTTTAAAAAAATCAACGATTTTTTATACCTGTTTTTAAAACAGATATAAAAGCTTTTGGTAACGTAAACAAAAAAAACAGTTTATTTTCCTTAGCTGGTAACCTCTGATAAATTTTTTAAATTTGTATAGAATTTTCAACATCTTGCAAAAGTTTCTAATACAAACTGCTTTACTGATTTGTAGAAATCTGATTTAAAAGTTGCAGCAATTTTTTTACCTTGTTTTCCGTGTAACGTAAGTTAAGCGGCACTTT